TGAGGAAGCACTTCTTTACACAGCGTGTAGTCAGAGTATGGAATAGTCTTCCTGCTAATGTAGTGGAAGCTAAAACCATGGGTTCCTTTAAATCAGAGCTAGATACAGTAAGATTTTAACAACTCTGAGCTATTAGCTAAGTTCTCCCCAAACAAGCTTGATGGGCCGAATGGCCTCCTCTCGTTTGTAAATTTATTATGTTCTTAACATAAACTTAAAACAAAAACAAAACAAGACAATGTGCAAAGGACATACAGGAACATAAGATATTTACAAATGAGAGGAGGCCATTCGGCCATCAAGCTCCTTTGGGGAGAATTGAAGTAATAGCTGAGTCATTAAAATCTTATCTAGCTCTGATTTAAATGAACCCAAGGTTTTAGCTTGCACTACACTAACAGGAAGACTATTCCATACTCTAACTACACGCTGTGTAAAGAAGTGCTTCCTCAAGTTAATTTAAAAATGTTCTTCTGCTAATTTCCACCTATGCCCACAGGTTCTGGTGTTTAAACTAATATTGAAGTAGCTATTTGGCTGAAGAGCATCCAGACCTGTTAGAATCTTATATACCTGGATCATGTCCCCCACTTAGTCTCCTTTGCTTGAGGCTAAACAGATTCAGCTCAGGTATGAACAGCACCAACTATTACTAGCACAATAGTACTTAAGAAGTAGTAGTACGGAATGTATAGCAAAGTTAACCACCGTAACAACAAGAAAAACAACAACAAGAATAATAATTATAATAATAATAGTAATAATAGTAAGACACAGAGACATCTAAATGATTTGTGCATGTTTGATATGACCAGACATGTCTGGGTACAGTAGACATTGTGCAATGTATGGTATTGTGCAATACTGGGTAAAGTTCGGTTTTGTCAAAATTATATTAAATGTATGTTTACGAGTTTAATGGAATCAAAGGAAGCAAGTTAGACTGGCATTTACCAACATGTAGCAGCATGAGTTCACAGTGTAAGACAGTGTATGATAATAGCAGTAATAGAAGTAACGTCAAAAAAATTCTAACTGCAGAAAATAGGAACTGAAACAGAAAAATGGACCAGACAGTGAATAATGAGGATTGTTATTATTGCCCCATGTCAGAGTGACAAAGTAAGTGCAGTGCATGCTTAAGGGTCGGTATGTGGCTTTCAGTTTGTGTACACTTCAAACCGTTTTGAAAGGTGGCTGTACATATGTTTAATTTCTGCCTGAGTGGGTTGGGTGGGGGGTGAGGCAGTGATGAGGCAGTGTGAGAGATCCTGGGGGGCAGCATGGTGTTGAGGAGCCTGACAGCCTGGGGGTAAAAACTGTCATGCAGGCTAGCAGACCCGGCTCTGATGCTGCAGTATCTTCTCTTGGGTGGCAGGAGTGTGAAAAGACCATGTGAGGGATGTGATGGGTCATGCACAATGCTGCATGTCTTGCAAACACTGCATTTGCAAAACTTGTCTTGTAGTGAAGGGAGAGGCACCCCGATAATGTTCTCTGCTGGCTTTACTACTCTCTGCAGGTGCTTTTGGGCAGATTTGTTGCTGCTGCCATACCAGGTGGTGATGCAGTTGGTCAGAATACTCTCGATGGTGCCTCTGTAGAACATGGTGAGGATGGGAAGGGGGAAGGCTTGCTTGTTTCAGCTGCCTCAGGACGTAGTCTATGCTTGGCTTTCTTGAATAAAGAGGTGATGTTGTTTGTCCATGTAAGTTCCTCAGTCATGTGCATGCCAAGGAACAAGGTACTGCTTACTGTTGATAGTAATACTGTTGATGCTGAGTGGGGTGTGGGCAGGATATGTCCTTCTGAAGCCCACAATTGTTTCCATAGTCTTGTCAACGTTGAGAGATAGACTGTTGTCTCTGCACCTTGTGGACAGTTGTTCCACCTCTTCTCTGTATGCATAATCTCTGCTTATCCGTCCCAACACAGTCATATCATCTGCAAACTTGATGATGTGGTTGGTGTTGTGTGTGGCTGTGCAGTCATGGGTCAACAAGGTGAAGAGCAGAGGACTAAGCATGCAGCCTTGCAGAGCTCTGGTGCTCAGCCTCATGGTGCTATTACTGTAGGTGTTGTAGCCCATATGTACTGGGGCTTCTCTGTCAGGAAATACAAGATCCAATTGCAGAGAGGGGTGTTCAAGCCTAACCCCCTCAATTTCACAGAATCAGGTTTTGAGGAATGATGATGGCGTTGAAGGCAGAACTGAAAACAAATATGTCTTTCTAGGTCTAGAGAGGTAGGGAGATTGGTCTTTATGTGTGCCAGGACCAGCCTTTCAAAGCACTTCATGGTGATTGACATGAACAAAATTCACTCTCAATGTTAGAAATTAACACTCAGAGTTAAAAGGAATAGCACAATTTAGTGGTAGAAATACATTTTAATGTATAATAAAACAAAACTCTATTTTAGAAATTAATACTCCAAGTGAAAGCCAATAATATAATTGCGTAAAATATACTTCTGTGTGTCAAAACAAATTACATTATTAAATAACACTATTAAAGAGTTAAATGTTAACACTACCCAAAGTGTAACCAGTGAGAATTATATAAACACCGGGATAGTGCTAATTTTATCACTAAGTGAGTTAAATTAACACTGAGGATTTCGCAGTACGGGGTTCTTTTCTGCAGATGAAAATTTGTTTATATGCACTTGCAAAGTCCTTCAAGTCTTCAGATAAAATGAACTGTAATACATCACTGATATTCTGGTGACAGCTAACATGGCTAGCTTGGTGATCCAACAGGACCTTGCAAACTGTGGTCTGCAGGCAAAAAATATCAAATTAAACTCCTTCAGATCTTTCAGAATTCTGTGGTTTCCTCTCCCAATAATACCACCTTGTGTTTGGTTCATTGTGATCAGCAGGTATTGCGGCCTCCATCTCCTGATTGTCATGTGATCCCTGCAAAAGTGTGTCAGTTGAGACATTTTATATTATTTTTTGATTAAAAAATTAATTCATGATTAAATGGACTAGTATTAATATGACCAAATATTTTAAAAGGGTTAACATCCAAAAAATATCTCATGCATAAAGATTGTACATACAGGTATCCTCAACTAAAGACCCACAATGCCCTCCAGTAATCACAGGTACCCACATCTAATGACCCACAATGTCATCCAGAGCATCTCCATTACAGCAAAGCTTGTGGGGTGCTCATGGTCAGCTGTGGTGAGTACATATCGACAAGCAGAGGTGGAAATTTCAGGTCCAGAAAGTAAAAATCCAGTCCAAGATTTTGTTTCAATCAACCATTTATGCATAAAGAGTCACAGACACAGAGTACTCAGCTGCTTGGTTGAAGCAAAATCTTGGACTGGATTTTTACTTTCTGGGCCTGAAATTTCCACCTCTGTCGACAAGGCACATGGCACTAGTCCAAGGCATGGGTGGATCCTGGCAGGGGCAAGATGGGTAATTGCCCAGGGGAGCATCTATTGAATTTGTGCCAGCACCCAGCAAGCTTCAACTGTAGCATTATGGCGTCACATTAGAGTCAACACTCTCATTAGCTTCGGCATCTCCATACGGTAAAGTTATCATGTGTTACGAGTTTCCATAGACCATACATAATTTCTACACCTCGTCATGCAACCACTTACGATGAGTATTACTAACGTAATTGTAGCATTTTGTATCGATGTTTTCAGTAGCTATTTGAACGTTGTGGGTTAGTTAAACTATTCTGTTCTATACAGTAGTACTTAAATCTGCAATGTAATGCCTCTTTGGGAATTGATTTACAAAAAATATCTTCACATGGGGACACCTGTGCCCCAGTTGAACACAGGGGTAATTGATTGGGGGACTTACATTGTTCCTTCTTCTGTTGCTCATGTTTTTAAATGGCATGCAATAAGGACAGTCATGCTGTGTGCAGTTCTCCCAGTGTGAGATGATCAAGCGGGAGGAAGCGCAGTGCTTCACTGCAGGAGCACAAAGAGGGGTTCAGACTGTTAGGTGACAGAAACTGACCTGGCACTGGAGTGAAGATGAACACATGACCAAAGATAAATTAATCCTCCTCCAGCCTGAATCAACCAGAAGAGTGGAAACGAAGTGTGGTCTTACACTCACCCTGGCAGGTGATGCCGGCCTGGCAGCTGTCCATATGCTTCAGGACCTTCCGCATGGTGCGGCACTGGGGCCTGGAGCATGACCACTCCTCCCTCTTAGTCTGCTTGTGTTGCTGGCATTCACGGGCATGTTGGAGGAGGAATAGCCGCTCTTGGATCAGCTTGCGTTTCCCCAGGTGAGCAGAGGGGTCTGGCATGCCAGCTTGGAGAACCTGCTGCTGTGTTCTGTGTCCTGTACCCTCTCCATAGGGCTGCCAGAAGGGGACACTGTTGCCTCCGAGACACATCTGATGGGGTTGCAATGTCTTTATTTAGGAAGACACCAAGACACTTTCCAATATAATAAAAAAATGGTAAAACAGAAGACCTGACAGTCTGCCCAGCTGGCAGCAACAGTAGAGCGAAGTATAAGAGATTTCTTTGCCAGGTAAGATGTGTAAAGGCAACCTGTGTTTACATTAACAAAAGCTGTTGTATGAATGCAGCGAATGTCTCTGCACACTTTTCAGCACTCATGGAGGTTTTGACAGTAAGATTCAGACCTTTCTACATCCCCACAGAGTTCACAACAGTCCTCATTGTTGTTCACATCCCCCCAGAGCTAGTGCTAATGGTGATGTTGGTAGAGCTCTGTGTGAACTTCACTGGATTATCAGTGAGCTTAGACAGCTCACTTGATCAAACCAGCCCTGGCCCTAGGGAGCTGTATCTGCACTATAAAACTGCTTCAACCACACAGGTTAGCACATCATCAGGGAAGCTGCCACTAATGGCAGCTCAGTAGACCTGTAGGAGTATACAGCCTCGGTGACTGACTACATCGGCAAAAGCATTGAGGATGTTACTGTCTCCAAAACTGTCATCACATGTGCAAACCACAAACAACAACAACAACAAATTTATTTTTGTATAGCGCATTATCACAACATTACATTGTCCCAAAGCGCTTTACAGCATTCCCACCCAAAGCCCCCAGTGAGTAAGCCATAGGCGACAGTGGCAAGGAAAAACTCCCCAGAAGGAAGAAACCTTGGGAGGGACCAGACTCAAAGGGGGAGCCCATCCTCCAGGGGCCGGCAGGGAGAGTCAAACCCTGCTTCTCTGCAGACATGCGCACTCTGGAGAGAATCAGAAATATTGCCTACAGGCCTGGAGACAGAGAGGCTTATACTATTGCCACAGCATAACATTCCTGGGCATTGAAGAGGCAAACAGTGCCTATGGATGGAAAATCAGCCACTTCTTGGACTCAGAGGACACACAGTGCAGGCGGCAGTGAGCCCTCCCTGCCAAATGCAGTGATTTACTTCTGTGCATCGTTTGAGACGTATAGCAGGGGACCAGCCCCTGTCTGAATGACCAGGTACTTCACCTATCTACCTCTGACTCAATGTGGACACACTTGGAAGGCGGTGGAACCTGACAACATACATGGCCGGGTGCTGAGAGACTGCTAACGAACTGCAAAATATCCCCATAGACATCTTCAATGTATCCCTGAGCATAAAAAGTGGTACCTGTATGCCTCAAAACAACCAGGATAATCCCAGTGCCTAAGAAGTAGACCATGTTCTGTCTCTACGACTACTGGCCTGTTGTACTCGCACCCATCATCATGAAGTGCTTCGAGAGGCTGGTATTGAGGCACATGAAGGCACAACTCCTAGACTGACTAGACCCCTACTTATCGCCCAATCTGGACCAGATGTGATGCCATCTCCACTGCCCTCCCCCTCACCCTCTCACACCTGGACAGAAAGGACAGCTATGCTGTTCATTAGCTTCAGTTCAGCATTTAACACAATCATCCCGCAGAGGCTGGTAAGGAAGCTGAACCTGCTGGGCATGAACACCCCTCTCTGTAACTGGATTCTGCACTTCCTGTCTGACAGACCTCAGTGTGTCCCCATAAGAAACAGCACCTCCAGGATCCTCCCACTGAGCACAGATGCCCCCAGGGCTGTGTGTTCAGCTCAGTGCTGTTTACTCTGCTCTCTGACCCATCATCTATACACTGAGACAGACCCCTCCCACCCATCATCTATACAGGAAACATGTCATCCGCCGTGCAAACAGCACTGAGACAGACCCCTCCCACCCATCATCTATACAGGAAACATGTCATCCGCCGTGCAGACAGCACTGAGACAGACCCCTCCCAACCATCCCACGGACTGTTCACTCCCCTACCACCTGACAGAAGGTTCTAGAGCATCCGATTCATCACTGCTAAACCCTGAAACAGCTTCTCCCTCCAGGCAGTCAGGCTTCTCACTACTCTGCTGTGTCAGACTCCATACTTAAAGGAAAGGAGGAAGAGCACAAGGGTCACAGATTTGCTACAGATCAAATTATGTATAATTATCTGAGGGAAGATGGTCAGACTGATGTAGAGAAACAGGTCCCAGGACAGCAAGCAGAGGGGCTGATGTATCTTAGGCACCTACCAGTTCCAGCTCGGCATCTTGGAGTCTGTCAACCAGGCCCAGCTGTCTTTTTATTCTAAGAAAAATGTACAGTTATATCAGAGTTCAGAGGTCTGAATATCACATTTTAAGTAAAATAATCCTATTTTATGTGCGTCGTACTTATTCCAAAGTCACATTTAGGCAATTCCTACAATTACATGAAGTAACAAAATTATCTAAAGACATGGTACCAAAATAAGAGCTATAGTTCCGTTACATTTTAATATGTAAAACATGGTGACACTCATGAATAATATTTTTGCACCGTAACACTGGCACCTCACACCTCCCGGCTTGGGCTCTGTGTAGTTTGCGTGGTGACTCAGTGGGTAACACTGGCACCTCATACCACCCGACTTGGGCTCTGTGTAGTTGGCGTGGTGACTCAGTGGGTGACACTGGCACCTCACACCTCCCGGTTTGGGCTCTGTGTAGTTGGCGTGGTGACTCAGTGGGTGATACTGGCACCTCACACCTCCCGGCTTGGGCTCTGTGTAGTTGCCGTGGTGACTCAGTGGGTAACACTGGCACCTCACACCTCCCGGTTTGGGCTCTGAGTTGTTTACATGCTCTTCCCATGTTTCCCCAGGTACTCCGTTTTATTCTCAGTCCCAAAACATGAGGTTAGGCCAACTGGCATCTCTAAATGCTCTGTGATGGACTGGCATCCTGCCCAGGGTATCCCCCTGCCTTGTGCCCTGTGCTTTCATAACAGGTGCCAGGCTCACTGCAATGGATGAATTAATTTTTTTGTACATTTATACCTTTTTTTTGTAGAAAAAAGAATCGTACAGGTACTAAGTAGAAAAATGTCTACTCACTTTTCTTTTTTGGCCAAACCTATAATTTACAAAGATGCGATTAAACATGTTTAATTAGTTTAAAATAATAAGGCTTTAATATGGAGTTTTATTTAGCTGACAGACAATAAAAAAGAGTAATGATGAATAAGGATACTCAATGATTATTTTAATATTGATAATTATTATATAATAATGATTAGTAACACATCCTATTACAGTGACACATATGCTGCATTATGGAGGTTGTGCTTATTTTATCTCCCTTCCTTTGTAATAGTCAGGGCTCCCCATTACAGTCTCGGTGCCCCTTACTGGCCAGGAGGCCATTATAGTCCTACACCACTGAAACAGCTTCATAAAGGAAGAACAAAAATTCTCAAAAGAGTTAAAGCAGAGTTACGAAATGTTACATCCTGAGCCATATAATGTGGTTGAAAATGATATAATATTGAACCAGGTTAAATACTGAGCATGTGGAGATGCTGGAAAATTCCCACTACACATATTCAGCCTTTATGGTAAGTTATTCATCATACAGTATCTCTGTTATACTTACAGAATGCAGACATCTGTATAACAAACCAGCTAAAGAGGAAGACAGACCCAGAAATCAGGACAATCAGCCGTAGATCCAATGACTGTTTTCCTGTGTCTGAAATGACATGAACACAAAAATCACTGAGAACTGAGATCAGCAAATGAACAGTAAGTGATAGACATTAAACCACAGGAATCCATATATTTATTAATGGGTTTATACAATTTAGCTGTATTATTAAGTTCACCGAGTAAATGTGAAATTTCAGGCAAAGCATCTCAAAGTTCTAGAGTATTTACCTGCTTTGAGTTGCAATGCTACAGCCAGGGCAAGAGAATTCACGAGAGGGAGACCAAAAGCCCCTGAGAAATATACATATTTACGGGGTTTGACTGAAAGGTAGAGAGAAAAGCATTAGTCATACAGCTCCATACAGTGCCACTACAAAGTATTTGCAAAATATCCTCATTTTTGCTTAATAAAAAGAACATCCTGAGTAAAAACACAGGTTTTCAATGATAATTTGATTAATTAAAGAAAATAACTCACCAATACCCATATCACCCATGTGCCTTCCTAAATTTAATACCTGGTTTTGCCACCTTTAGCAGCAATAACTGAAATCAAACACTTGTGGTAAGAGGACATCAATCTTTGGCATCACCATGGAGATATTTTGGCCCACTCTTCCCTAGAAAATTCTTCTAATTCAGCCACATTGGAGGGTTGTTGACCATGAGCTGATTATTTAAAATCTCACCACAACATCTCAATAGGGTTTAAGTCAGGACTTTGACTAGGCCACTCCAAAACTACTTTTTTCAGCCATTCAGAGGTGGACTTGCTCTTGTGCTTCAGATCATTGTCCTGGTACATTCACGTTTCAGCTTCAGATCACAGACTGATGACTGGACATTCTCCTTCAATACTTTTTGGAGGACAGTGCTCTGTACCCCTTTCCTGACTGATATTTCAATAACCTTCTCTCTTCTGATTGAGGCATGGTGTGCTGCTTCTTGAGACCCCTTATCCAACTCTCACATTGCTGCAATGATTCTATTTAAGTGATGTGTAGGACTGGCAGCAATTAAGTTTGGGTGTGTCTAATTTAATTTGTCCCATTATCAATTACATTTGGTTCTTTAGTTGATTGACTCCATACATCTGTCACTGGGTTTTGTCATTGAAGAATTTTTTTAATGCTTTTTTCAAAACATAATAATTTCATTTAAAATATAGAGTATTATGAAACAAAATATTTAAACAGTGTGCGTAGATGTATCTGAGGCAGGGTTGAGGAGGTCCTCAAAGTATTCCTTCCACCTCCGGGTGATGTCCCCAGGTGAGGT